CAAGATTTTCAACGTGTTCAAATGTCTGCAGAGTCACGCCCACTATATGCATGGGAAACGTCTATACTAGACGATAGTAGCGTTCACTTTATACTTGGCGTCTCGTTGGCGCCACCTCCAGCGGCTGGTTGCGGCAAATCTTGGTTAGTAACACATGCTACAGAACCCACCACAATCTGTCAGATTGAAAGAAGGACCCTAATTCATGACATTTTGTCAATTTTCTATTTACTAGCTCTGCCATCGCTCTAAGAAAAGAGAAACATCAAGTATGATTCAAATAATTTATGATTAAGGCGTAGTCAATTTCTGCAAACTATTCAGACTAATCAGAGTGCGGGTGCGAGAAAAATGTTAGGTCGTTACGTTCGTTTTGAATTTTTGAAACACTCACTAACTTTGGCCCAGACAAAGTTTGAGGTCAAAAAATAGAATGTACAAATGCTCGTAAAAACGGGGATTCTCTTCAAGGGTCCTATAAGGACTCAATCTTGTTCACTCATATTATATAATTCACCATCAGGCAATCCTACATACTGAGCCTTTTCTCTTGGTCATAAACTGAGAAGATTTTAAATTTCTGACTTGCAAAGCAATGTTGAGCTGTTGCCACACTAGTGATTGTAAAATAATGCCTTCAAAAGGATGAATGTGAGCTTTGAGTCTTCTTGAGCCTTTAAAAAATATAAAAAAGCTCACCTTATCCAACTTTTTCTGCCAGATTCAGTATTTGTCGGCGAGTAGCTCCTGCAGAAGGCCAAATCTCACAGTCATACTTTTGAGGGCTTGCAGTATACAATTACTAGCGTTGGAGCAGCTTAGCGCCGCTTTGAGCAAAAACTTGAGAGTCCTCCTTTCGATTTTTTTAAATAAAGAAAACTACGGCAACGCTTATAGGAATGTCTGATGTAAAATGCATATGCGTGAGGCAGCTTAAAGGCACCGTCCACCCAAAATGGAGGTTGGCGAGATTATGATGGCATACTAGTGTGGGCCCCCATACTAGACAAACCCCCAAGTTTCGCCGCAAAAGACTGCTTCTGAAGCGAGAAATCCGCTCCGGAAGTAACAATAAGTAACGCCCACTTTTGTTACTTCCGGAGCGGATTTCTCGCTTCAGAAGCAGTCTTTTGCGGCGAAACTTGGGGGTTTGTCTAGTATGGGGGCCCACACTAGCATGCCATCATAATCTCGCCAACCTCCATTTTGGGTGGACGGTGCCTTTAAGGTTTGCGTAACGTTCTCTGGACGTTCTCTAGTTTCTCTCGATTTTTTGTGTTTAGAGCTTTTTAGTTTTTGTCAGTCATCGGCGTGAATCCAAATGGTTGAACATCATCTTGTAAAACTTGTCTTGCACTACTGAATGGTATTCTGAAGCCTGGTCAAAACAAGAAATGCGTAATTTGTTATGTAAAGCAGTCAAGGTGTAACAAACGTATACAAGATGTGCAAAAATAAAGTGCACATTGTTCGATGGCTAATAACTCGCTTGTTTTATGCCCTTCGCCGATCTTCATGTAACAGTAGAACAGGCTTCAAATGGGCTAATTTTTAGATAACAATTTTTGTCGCATCATTACACGTTTAAACAAAAAAATGGTGTTTCTGAAGGTGGTAGTTTTAGCCCACTATTGACAGACCTTATACTTTCTTGGTAATATCTGCTGCATGACGAAGGCGGTTGCCCAAATAGGTTGAAGGCTGTCGCGCACGCGGCGCGCGGGCAATTGCCAGCCACGGGGCGCGCGCACGCTCCAGTGGATGACCGCTGACCGAGCGTGCGCGCGCTCGGTGGTTGACAATTGCCCGCGCGCCGCGTGCGCGACAGCCTTCAACCTATTTGGGCAACCGCCTTCGTCACGCAGGAGATATTATGAATATAAATATTTCATTCTAACTATCACAGATAATAACCCATTAATCCCATATAATATGGATGATTTACTGTTTATTCATAATTAGCTGGCTTATCCGGCTCCGCCCAGTCCTGACAAAACACTGTGATGAAGCTCTCATCCGCATCCCTGTATACAAACCTTCCCTGTGCCCAATCCCATATCAACTCCAGCTCCTTATTCCCGCTGTGTTGGTTATCAGCATGCTCACCTATCCTGTGCGATTCCCTGCCACGTAGCTCAAAATTTACAAAAAAAATCGATAAAATCGAAAAAAGTAACCGCTAATTCCATAAATTGATGGCGCTATTTATCCAGGCCCCAAAATGTTTTGTGACGGATCTTGCTCAAACTCGGTATATAGGGATTATTTGAGCCGCTGATGACAAATATCGTAGTCATTTCGCGTGGCAGCGGGTAAAAATCATAAAACTGCCTTAAACCTTCGCAGGAATCACCTAAAGTGCTGTTTAGAGAATATCGTGTTAATCCCCACGATAAAGGCAACTCATGTGGTATAAAAGTTCCCACGACCGTAACGCTTTCCTTATGGGACCGCTGCCGCGCGCGATACACCCTTCGGCGGTTTTTGCCTAAGCAAAAACAGGGGAGAGAAATTTGCCGCGTGCGTTGCGCATTGGGACAGATTATCAGGATGGCGCTGGAGACCCCCATGCAAAACAATCGTTTCCCCATTTCGTGAATATCTGGGATCTAAATTGGTCCGAAAGTGAAAAAAATGTCCATTCAAACCCTCCAACTCACCATATCTTCACAATAATGCGTTATGACAGCGAGCAAGCATCATATTCATAAGCAGTATGCTTGTAAACCGTTACAGGTGAGGTTTTGAGCAAATCTGGAACTCGACTGTACACCCAAGAAAATGCGCTATCCTGCGAAATCAGCATGATATTCATGTTCAGCGCGCGAAATGACCACCTTAGACGAAGTTAAGCAAATCTATGTTTTCGGTCCCATACCAAATAACCACCATAACTCTATGAAAAAGTCCCAATATGCAGAGAGAGTATGAAAATCGTAATCAGCATGTCGAATAAGTTCTCAGGACCGAACTCCAGCCGTCATGATTTTGGCGTACACCTATCGTAACCACATTGGGAGACTTTCGGCGGAGAAAGTGTGATATCTGTAATCAGCATGTAAGATAACCCATATACACGAAGTTTGAGCAAGCTCTACGGCAAAAAAATTTTGGAGCCCGGATAGCCAAATAGCGCCAAACTAATATTGTACTCGTGATCAGCATGCTCGATTACCCCCTGTGCCAACTCCCAGCCACGTAGCTCAAACTTTGCAAAAATCGATAAAGTCGACAAAAGTAATCGATAATTCTGAAAACTAATATTATATTTGGAATCCCCATGCTCGATTACCCCTTTGTGCCAACTCCCAGCCCCATAGGTGAACTCTGCAAAAAAATCGATAAAAATCGATAAAATCGATATCGATCGACAACGGAGAGTAGCCTATGACACGCTCCCTGCCCAGAAGTGGGTGTGTGCCATTAGTCCCGGATCGGTTCAGAAATAAAAATTTTTATTCGGAATATACGTACATACATACAGACATACATACAAACAGGCATTCAGCTTTATATATAAGATATGGAAGAAATTATTGTTAATGAACCAGTCAAAAAGATTTATGACTACAAGCTTCAGATAGAAGCAGCACATATTGCTACACATCAATGTAACTATCTAAACTTGACTACTGAGATTAAAAAAACAAGAAATTAGTAACAAAAATGTATAATAAAACCAATCATTCTGATTTCGATATAAAAAGTTCCATGCATTCTATTAGATATCTGACATTTCAATCAAAATCAAAAAAGAAACGATATATACTGAAATTCTTAGAGTAGCGGGAACATACACTTGTTTAAACGGTTTTGTACAAAAATATCTCAATTTAAAGGCATTTAAAAATTGGATAAATTCGTACAAAAATTCTCTGTTTTCAAATAGCTTAACAGGAATCCTTTCATGTTATATAGATACAACACTTCAAACTACAAATCTAGAAAAATTTTGATCAAAATTTTGATACCTTGATTATGCATTTGAATTAATTGCGAACAACCGAAAAATATGAAACATTGCTATAAATGATACATTCTGAAGTGATAATATAACAAAAGCAAACATGTTAAAACTAGTTCATGTTCAGTTTTTTTCACTATACACAGAAGGCGTAGTTCTCGGAAGACTTATATTTACAAGATGAGTTTTACACATTTCTTCAAAATCTTTCAAAAACTGTCTAGACCTCCCTTCTTACTGAAGAGTCCTGGAGAGGGTCTAGAGCTTGAACTCCGCCCAAGAAAAAAGACGAAACGGAATTATAATTTTTCTTTTATATTACAGCAGATAAAGAAGGAAGATTTGGAATCAGCGCTTCATACCCTTCGAAAATGGTATTAATTTCATATCGAAAGCCACCCCGACTAACCTTCCTTTCCCCTTCCCTGGTTAGACTTACAGTATAGAGAGAATCTACGATCTTCATCCTCACTGTAGAATTACGATAGGAACCTTGAAGCTTTTCAAAGAGTTAACAATCGCATTTTGCCCCAGAAAAAAGGCAATACAAGCCAAAAACTCTCGCAGGCCGATCAGAGTCACCGTCAGATATGAAAATTGCACCCCATGTTTTTTCACAAATCATTTTAAGTAAATGGTAATAAGTGATTTTCCAGTGTACTTAAAAATGTTATTGCACCTCTAAAAAACGCAGAAACTTGTAAAAAATTGCGTATTGAAATCAGCATGCTCGAAAACCCTGCTACACAATTTTCCGAATTTTTTGGAATTTTTTCATTAAACGGCATAATCAATGGCGCTGTGCTGGAAGTTTCAGCCGTAACCCTACAGTAATGAAGACATATCGGAGATTCATTCTGTATTGCAAACCCAAGTTGAAGCCTGCTTTACAGAATGATGCATAAAGATCGGCGAAAGACATCGAAGAAAGCCAGTTATTAGCGATCAGACAATGTGCACATTATTTTGGACACAAGTATAGGCATAACTGACCTATTATCATCAGGACCTTCTAGCTGAGATAATGCGAACTCACATTCTCACACCATTCGTCCATCTCCGTTCAGCATACTTTGCTCAAGGACAAATCTAAAAACATATTTCATGATGTTGAAAAGATGAACATTATCGAAGCAACAATTAAATTGATATTGTATGTCTTGAGGAAGAGATGAAGCGTTTGAAAAGATTTTGTTTGTAAAAGGTTGAGGGATTTTAAAGAAGTTGAGCTATCTTAGCTATCTTTCCGAAAAATTTGCATCGGGTGCTGTAATTACAGTATGCAATAAGCTGGCGTTAGGGGAGTGCTTCTTGATCAGAGTGTGAATTTTAGTAAAATGACTACTATTCTGAAATAAGCACACTCCATCAGCTTTCTTTTGCATAGAATTTGGGGATGATTGCTACCTTTTTTGTCAGCTATTCAGATCTAATGTAGGTGTACTGTAGATGGCAGTATGCGCAATTATAGTTTAAAAAGTGGGCTGGTCCGTAAAAAGGCCTTGGTCCCAAAAGACAGACAACTAAAAAACTGCATGGTCATCAATGTGTTAACAACACTATCAGCTTTCGAAGCTGGTGCTATATCTGCAATCCTTATCTGCTGAACAACTCTCTGGAAGAAATTACAAACCGTTTTGAGTCTTCGAATTGTAGGAGTTGATGCGCGATAATTTAAAGGTCTGGAAAAGCGTAGTCGGAATGGTGTTCAGATCTGACCTGAGAAAGAAGCACAACCAGATAACCGGAGATTCCAGTATGAGTTTCTAAGCCACTTTTGTCAAATTTACGCCACTAAAAACTTGTCATCTTCGACCTTATTCATAATTTCATCTGAAGCCGTTGACCAGACATAAAAGACAGATTTGAGATCAACTATTGAAAGGCATTTATCTAATCGTTTGAAACGCAATGGGTCCCTCGAACGCAGTGTCTCACCATAAATTGGTTGTCGAGAATTCTGCATTTTACAAGGTTTCGGCGCGTGTCTACTCGTTTTCTGAATCCCTTGTGAAGCCGTTGACCAGACTCAACAACTTGGACGAGTTGTGCCCTCCCATTCTACCCTACGCCATAGTGGCAACAACAACGAGAAGGTGGGTGTTGAGGGTTGTTTTTACCGCGGTACTAATCGCAGCAGACTGCAGCTCACTGCACTGACTGAAGCGGATTGCAGCTGACTTCAGCGGCCCCACATCTTCACGTAAAAAGAAAGAACGACCTGGATTACGACCGAGACACCTTGAATGACGCCTAGACCAAAAGTTCCGATTTCATTTTCAATTAGATTTTGCTTTTTTACGCGAACGTGCTGCGCCGCGGCGGTCAGCTGCAGTCTATGCAGTCTGCTGCGGGGGCAGTATGAAACAACCCGAGGAAAGACATGTTGAAACAAGTATGGAGGAACACACCCAAATCGGCTGTGTATACCAAATCACTCGGTCGGGGTATGTATGTTCCACTTTGAGCGCATTTTTATTAGCGTAGAGGAGGTAACGAGTCAGACTTGTTGCTATGGTTTGTTTACAGGGCCCTACAGTAGATATGTGGAGATCCGCGCAATCTAAATCTTGGTGAGACACTTCCTCTAAAGAACAAATGCAGCTCACTAAAATGAAATGATTGATGGTTCAAAGAACACCCAGCGACAGCTTGTTGGTAGCACTGCTTCAGGACAGAAGATAACATTAAAAATGTGAAGTTTTTATGCTCTATCCATGCGCATACAGCTTATATTATTCCTCATGCCGGCAATTTATAGACCAGTCAATTTTGGACCACGTTTCAAGCCTATGAATATAATCTGCTCGTATTTACGTATTTGAGGCGCACAACTATCTATAGGTTGCTGCATGACGAAGGCGCAATATCGTCGGGCGCGAACGCGGCTTTTTTAGCCGCAGAGCGCTTGAGGCGCAGGATTTACAACGGTGAGGATACGCGCGCGTCGCGTTTGCACCCGCTCAAATGATAATGCTTCTGCGCCTTCGTCATGCAGTAGCCTTTACTTTGGCTCATATCGTTTCCGGTCATGCTTTTGACCGTGGAGCGCGACAAGCTTGCCGAACATTTAGCCATTGATTTCCACTGGCAGATATTATGCTAACCACAATCTCCCTTGGCGTGTTTTAGGCTCATTAATCTAATCATATAGAGAATATTACGTTGTTCAGAACTATTGTTGAATTATCTCTTGCCCATTTCCTACGATAAGAGCTGCAGACAGATAAGTTACAGATCTCAGTAAACTATAATCAAAGCAATCCTTGTTGAAGTGGACACAAAACTCCTTCCACTCGGACCAAAATGCAATGTTTATCTGTACGAAGACATATCGTGCATCTCCCAGATAGTCCCTATAGGCACTATCAACATGAATTCCTTTCGATCGTTATAACATGTCAAGTTCGACTAAGCCCCGTAGATTCGCTGGAGTTAACGTCTTAAAACGATTAAAAGGCAACCACATCAATAGTACCTATAAGAACAATTCTGGAGATGCACCGTATGCAGGGCCTAAGACAACAAAGGTGTGATCACAAAGAAAGTTGAACTAACGTACACAGCAACAGAGAAGATGGAGTAGTTTTGCATGCAATGACCAAAGCTCTTTTTTTTCTTGGTATCTTATACGTTACAGCCGTTGTGTTTTTCATGATCTTCTCGGCGTTTTGTATACATTCGGCTGTCAGTCCATCCTGGCCGGTAGTAATCCCCGACCTGGCGGCAGGTCTCATCGGCAGGTCGCTGGCACCTTTCCGAGGTGGCCAGAAACTAAGACCCAAATTTAGGCCGTCCCAGGCCTTTTTCCAAAGAATTTTCTCGATGAAGATGCCGCCTCGACCCTACAGAAACCTCCATCGAGATTTGCGGTTCCAGAAATCCTCCTGTAGGAAAATATCTGGATTCGCGAGGTGGCAGCTGCCGGCAGGTCATAGAGCGCGAGAAATAGCGTGCTCTTTTGAGAGAGGAAGCTGCCGGCATCAACGTGCCCCTACCACGTCGAGGTGCTGGCACCTTTGCCGACGGCGTCTGTGAGATTGCGAATTGCGGCGATATTACACAGTTTACGTCAGGCGACCTTCATTTTTCTCATTATATGAGTTTTTCTTTTTTAAAACGACGATTTTCTAACAGAGAAAAAATCTAGTAATGCCTTAGAAGCATAAGGAACACCACCTTTGCAATCCCTTCTAAATCTTATTTGCGCCGATTTCGCCCCTCTCTCGCTCATATCAATCAGCTGTTCTTTCAGGTCAAAGTCTCTCGCGCAATGTATCGATCCCTCTTACCGGCGGCATTTACCAATGCGTTCCTCATATTGCTGATACAAACGGCAAGGACCAACCGATTGGTCGAGTGGGTAACGTGGCAGCACTTGAAGCTGGCATAAGGTTCGACCGCGCGCGAGAAAGCAGTTTCGCGGCTATCTACGTAAGCTCAGATATATCTTATTGAGATTCCACTACTTACAACTAACCTTGAACTTTCAGAATGTAGTATTATATTTACAACGAAGCTATAATCCTGCAATTCTGTGTCTCTCGGAATCTCTTTCATGAAACTAGAATAATGTACTACGAAAATATGAGCCGCAACATATTCTCCCGTTTTGGCAGTCTTGGGTGTGAATAGTGAGCAAAACTCAAAAAGGACAAAGAATGAAGTGTTATGACCGTGGAGGAGAGGAGGACGTAAGCACACCGAGCAGAAGGTGATCGCAGGCTGTACAAATAAAAGCTCAACTTCAGGGGGCTTGCCGCGTTCACCGTCAAAAGCTGTCAAAGTAGATGGCTGTGTGCCTTGATTACGTCATCCGCTCCTGATTCTTCCTCAATGAGAAAATGAGAGAGTTTCTGCGCAAGCAAGCGCCTTTGGCCTTTTTTCACTTCTTCACCGGAAAAGCTCTTCCTAGCAAAAGTTGAAGAGCAGCAGCATACACACTAAAAGTATAGACGCAAGACAGAGAGACGTATGCGCTGATGCCCATAAACAAAGATATCTAAAAATGGAGGTGAACTATCATTCCAAACTACCATTTTGTCTTGAAACTACATTGTGCGTAATCTAATTTAACAAGATACTGTATGTATTATGCCATTATATCTCTAGATCTCATGAAACATGAAAAGTCTAGGAAGCATACTAGCTCAGAGATCGAGAGGAAATATGACGCATGTGGTCAATTTGACCTTGAACGTCCCTCCAACTCTAGAATGTTGGGGCGACATTGATAAAATTGGATGTTCAGCTCAGGGCCATGCATGAGGGTGGCAGAGAACACATGCACAGCAAATTGCCTTTGTCACTTGCAAATTTATTGCTTCCTTGATTGCTGAATCAATCGTTCAATTGAGTGTGCTTTCCTCCGCAGGGACTAGCAATTCGTTCTAAGGCCTAGGCATACCTAACGCAGTTTCAATCGCTGAGCTATTTAGCACTGCAACTCTCATAGCTGGTCGTAAGCACACTTTGCTGGTGCCGAGATGGTTTTACGACAACTTACAGAAGCTCTACGCGCCTATGCATTTAAGAGAGGTGCAAAGTATATCTGTAGTCATTTGGCAAATCGCCAAGTTGCATAGATGTTGCGATTTGACGGCTTGCTAATTTTTTGTTTATTTTTTGTTTATTTGTACTATACACTCAGGGTGCACCGAAAAAAAAAGACAAACAAACATAACATCAGCTCATCCTAGCCACCGACCGATACAAAGATCTGAAGGTTTGCGTACTAGAGGCGCCAGTGGATAACATAAAATCTGGTATGAGTGCACGCGAACGAAGTTTTAGGCCAGAAGTGAAATGTGTAGCAACTGGCCTATGTATCTAGAAACCCTGCCGTCTACAAAAATTAACAAAGTACCCAAATTTGAGTGCCAGCGAGCTTACGGGCGGAAACTAGCTGACGGAACCCCTTTGAAGTAGAAGAATATTTTTGTAAGAACAGCAGGATTTACTGACAAGTGTGCAGCGAGAAAGCCAGAATTTACATAAGAGTGAATTCATGTAGGAAAATAGTGGATTTACCATCAGAAGCGACTCAAAATATGATGGATAGGTTGTGTTTTTCTGTCAAGTAG